TAGTTGCTTTGGACGAGTATCATAAGCGTTGTGATGTGGCAGACGCACAAGCTTTGGACCGAGTATTCCCTGCGGAGGTAGCCGCACAGGGGAGGGGGGTACCATGTATGCTACCCCTCCCCTGTAGAGCCTACCTTTTTCAAGGAAAAAACTTTTTTATTGGGAAGGTCATGATGCCATATGTGTGAGCAAAAGGAGATTTGCATATATTCATATATATATATATATATCTTATTTAAATATTCCTCATAAAAGAAATACTTACACATCCCGGAGACTGCTGGACTCTACGAGGCAGCCTTCGCAGGCACCTCCTGGGCGTTGGCCGTCTTGGACTTGCCATCTTCACCTCAAGAGCAAAGGGGGACAAACACCTAGCACGAAGTGGTGCGGCCGATTGACCATGGAGTCAAGACACGTCCAAGGCGATTCAGTGCCACCCCCGAAGCAGGGTGCCCCTTTGCCTCAGTACCACGAGCATCTTGCGAGCATCATCTGATGTCTAGCAAACAACCTCTCAGCTCACGCAACTTGGAAACAAAGAGAACTTGCGAGCTGACATCTGATGAGCACCGGAGACTGCCACAACCCAGCATGCAAGCGAAAAGAGTTGGGCTCCTGTAGAGAAAGCACGATACTCCATCGTTTCCAGGCGGGTCGCTGAAGAAGCCCGCTGCCGTGCTGTCGTTCGCTGACCTGAACTACTTGTAGCAAATGCCTTGGGGGCCCTACGTGTAGACTGAATAAACAAACGGAGATCTACAGAGGATGTCTGGTGTTTAAAGAATCTCGCCTGCTGGGATGTCTCGAGGGGTAACCAGCGGCTCACGAGCCGCGGTATGGTGCGCCTCCACAGTGTGCTTCACAGTGTGACGCGATGAAAGAACAGGCGATTTGAATCCAGTCTCATACAGCCCCTTGCCTTCGACTTCGCCTCGTACACAGCTCGCTTCTCGTTAATGTTCACCTGCTAGTGAGTGAACAAATCCCAGCTCAAATTGTGGTGTTTCCATGCGTCTCCACTTCGGTCGGCCTCGATGCCGCTCATCTGGAAGGTGCGGGAATTGGAGCCTTTGCTGCGCTTCGGGCAACAACTCCACCATTGGGGCCCAACGAAACCAGCGGACCACAAGCCAGACCAGAGCATCGTCTCTGCAAATTGTGCTTAACAAAACTGAACACAACTTGAGCAACAAGATGATGTAAGCCGAAGTACGAAGTTTGATCTGTGGCCTGCGTTTGAAGGCATCTCCCGGTGCCACCGGGGTCCTCCACTCCGTGCACTTTCAGCTAATCCCTATAGTTCCTCGGGTCTGGACCCGCGCTTCCTCCCGAAGATGAGGGCGAATGGTATGAGATTGGTGCTGCAAGAAAACACATCTGCAGATATGTATATATATATATTATATATATATTATATATATATATATATATACATTCACATATATTTAATGTATCTATATGTGTAGAACATGTGAGAGAGAGGGTTGAGGGTCTATGTTGCGTTCTATTCTATTCTAAATGCTTTAGTTTCATCTACATTGATTTAGTTGTCAAAACAATGGAGTTCATTCAAGAAAACTCACAAAACTGGCTTAGACGAATTATCTGATTTAGCTAAACTTAATATGGATCAAGTAAACTCATTAAAGCGTCTAGACTTAATGATTAAAAGTCACAAGATTATTTAAAGTGGCGTTGGAACTGTAAATAGTTGAATTGGAGAAAAAGTTTGCAGTAACGACGATAATTGGACCAATAAGAATCCAAACATGGCCAGTAGATTAGTTAAGTTAACCACAAGAATACTGAAACGAAATAAACGAAACTATCTGGTTAAACCAACTAGGTAACAAATATGCTTACCCAGAAATTTTAAGCATTTTGTTAAATGTCTCCTGAATCGCGAACATTCTAAAACTCCCCAAACCAGCCTTTGCGAACTTAAACTTTGAATTTTTCGGGCCGAAGAATATTTTACTAATTTAGCTGCCTTCTTGATATTTTAACTGGCTTTCTTTTTGAACTAAAAATCACGATATTCATTCAACCAATTTCATGAAGTTAACTCAACTGACCCGAGTAAATTGTTGAAAACATCCGGGTTCCGGACCTAAAGCGTTAAACTGAAATTCACTCATGTAATTGACGTAACAGTTTGGAGACTTTAAACCTTTAGTTTAGTCCAAGTTTAACTTCAAATTACTTAATCTGAATGAAGGGCGTTTGGATCCGGAACCCAGATTCAACAATAATCTAACTAAAAGTGAGCGAAAGTAAACATTCTCAGAACTCTTGTGGCTTTAAGCAGTTCAGTTTGACCATGGGACTGTGGGCGCGCGCTTGTTCTTGCTTTTTGTCTGCCATGACTAGAGAACGTGCAGACAACGAAGGATTGCAAGCCGATGTTCAAAAACGCGTTTTTATAAATATGTATGTGCTTAATTGTTTCAATTTAGGTTTTGCTTCTCGGGGGGTGAATGCTTGAGATTATGTGCTTTCTTGTACCACTGTTTTTTTGCCTCTCTCATGTCAAATATTAGTTGCGGTTTTGTGTGTGTGTGACGTCTCCGACAAAGTTCTCTACGAAGTTAGCAACCTGTGAGTTTCGTTTATCGGGCGGTCGGTGCTTCAGGCCATTACTACTACCGCATTGCCTTTATCATTTTCGTTCTTGGGTTTACTGCCTCTACCACAACTATGATCTTTACAAGGGCTCACCTCTAATCTCTTAATCTTAAACGTTTCTGCCAATACTAGTATCTTCAGTCGAAATGCAGCAACAAAGCTCATTTCAGCCGACCCCTCCGGCGGCCCGCGAATATTGATGGCTTGTCACCCTCAATGAGGACCCGCAAGCCCACCAGACTCACCCCAACCCCAAAGTCACCCCAGCACTCCCAGCACCCCCAGCACTCCCAGCACTGGCCCATGACCCCCAGCACCCCCTCGTCCTTGGTGAACGAGGTTGAGGCTCGTTCACCGCCTTGACGTCTGCATGGGAAGGTGCTGTGGCGTCCTGAGGATGATGGCCGCCATTGGCCACCCACTCGCAACCCAATGGAGGCTCAACATGGAGCAAGATGCCTTCAGGTCGCTGAAAGTGACGCCCTTCTTCACCTAGCACGGCTATATACATGCTGCGACCCGACTTGCCACATTCTCGCTGAGGCCTCCTTGGCTTTCTCAGGTGTGTTTGGCTTCTCAGCGCCTCGCGGAGCAAAGCACCATCATGTACCCTCCCCATATCGCTGAACAATGCGGGTGGATGGTTTGCTTGGCCATGCTTGGCCCGCCTGCTTCTGGGGCCGCGAATGGTGCTGGCGGTTCTACGGGCACCAGCTCACCTGTGACCATCCCACTGCGACACAAAGCACAACGTCCCCCTACTCGGTGATTCGTGGCTATACAACCAACATCAAGGATCTCCGAGCGTCTAGACCTGCAGGTGGCTGTCGGTCGTCCAAGCGCGGATGCACCTCTTGCTCACGCTTGGAAAATGCCGAGCTCTCCTCCAGTCGGTGGTACCAGCAGTCTCTGGGCGCACGATATGGCGCAGGCTAGTGTGAAATGATTGGCACGATAACTGCTGCAATTTTGTCATCCTCGCTCCACCCAGTACAGAAGAATCCCTGACACGCAGGTCCTGCGCCACCATGACCTGTGAAGCAAACCGATATTGCCAGAGTCCGGCGTGGAAGAGCCAAGCAGTACTAGATTAGCTGCTTAGCTGCTGAAGTGAAAGTAAGCAGGGGAAAGGAGAGAAAGAGAGAGAGACAGAGAGAGAGAGAGAGAGAAAGAGACAGTGCCTCATCTTTCATTCGGAATGTTTTCCATAGCAAAGGCCGATGGTGAGCAAACCGTGCCTTGGCGGCGCGACGCCAAACATGCAAGACTGTAAGAATCAGGAGCAGCAAGAGCAGCAGCATTCATTTGTTGCATAGCCCGATGGAATCTCGTTCCCCATGGAGAGGGCCAAGCTGGCGCGTGCACATGCCAACCAAGAAGTGAGAACCGCCGACCGCCTCTCCGACCTCTTGCTGTCCCAGGCGCATTGGCCACCATCGTCGAAGCTTCAACCGGTCCGGGAGTCGAATCCTGCGCAGCCTGAAAGAGGCACAGCAACGGCACGGCCACAACACGTCACAACATGACGCATCTGCACCGTGTCTCTGCCAAGGTCACGCCGACTCAGCTACATAGCGAGTCGACGAAGCTTCCTAATGTAAAAAGAAAACCAAAGGCTGGTCGACTGAAGCAGAAAATGCCTGAGACGGAGCGGTGAGCTGGCCTTGGTCATTATCTGGCTGTCCCGCTGCTCATGCGACAAGTGCATGTGCATGAAAAAGTCGCGCTCCTTCAACAACATTGGCGTTGGCAACCATCTGTTCTTTTCATGCCGCTCATACAGGACCATACTGACTTGTTTGACAGTCGACATGCAGGGGCGCCTGATGCATGAAAATCCATTCTGACTCAGGGTGCACGTCATTGCCGAAGTGCTTGCAAACCGCTTCCAAAGCCACCATGCCTGCACTACTCAGTTCAGGGGATATTCTGCGACCCAGGACTCATCAACGAAGCATCGCATGCAATCATGCACACAGCCCTTGCACTGGATGCTTCGTTTTCCGAACTGGGACAGGAATGTAGTCCAAAGAATGGCAATGTATGAACTGCGATGTACCAACGCCAAATGTCAACACGACGGGGCACTAGAAAACTGGGATCACGATAACTTTGTCAAGATCATGGAGTTCTGGAGAATGCTGCCTCCATTTAATTTCCACCCACCAACTGAAGACTCTGCGAGGAAATGCCTGCTTACGAGAAACGTGACTGCGGCTTTTCAGCACTTCTTCTTGCTACTCATACCACTTACTACTTGTGACTATGTGCCTACGACCATTTGATGACAAGGCGGCGGGATGCAAGTGCTGAAATGCGAGGCGAGGAGGCAAGACGTACTGCGCCAGAGTTTTACTGCTGGGCACAAGCGCTCAGAAAGCAAGTGGCAGTCGGACCTCGGACCAGTCTCGGCACATTCTGGAATCCTGCATTAAGCGACCTATAAGCCCTGCGATAAGCCCTGCGATAAGCCCTGCGAAAGCCAGGAGCAGCGCGAGTCCACCACTCCCCGCGCCACCGAGGGTTCGTGGCAACGGCAAGCGCCAGATGCGCGGGCTGGGTCCGGCTTCCTGCAGGCTCTCCGGAGGCACAAGCAGCGAGCGAAACAGCGTAAGGCGCAGATATGCGCAGATGCACAACTCAAGCTTCAGTAGCACACGACCCCAACATGCCGCAAACTGCAGGTTGGCGCTCCAGAAAGTAGAGATGCCCTCCGCCAGCACAGAAACCGCTCGCCGCCGTGTCCAAGGTGAGATTCCCGTCCAGGTATCCGTCTGATTTGCGGTGGACGTGGAGCCTGCGCACAACATGGCACAAGAATGGCACAAGAATGGCACAGGAATGGCACAACTACGGACATCCTGTGTCCCTGTGTCCCCATGCCTCGTACCATTTGCGGCGAGGACCGCGAAGTGGTCATCACCAACAGCTCTCACTGCACCTGCACAACGGGATGGGTGATAAATGGAGTGAGAACTGTCCCAACATCCAGCTTGTCCCACACCTGGTGTCCAGAAACTTTCCTCCTTTTCGACCAGAGACTGCCTCAAGTTGTCACGTTAACTTTTGTTTGTCATTAACCCTTGCTGCAGCCCCATTGCAAGTAGAGGCGAGATGCATGATTCAGCATCAGAGTCAAACTTGCAACGTCTCCCGGCCCTTTCAAAGCCCGCAACTTGCTGCAACACTTTGCGTCTCTTCCGCGGTCCCAGTTGCACAGGCGCCACACGTCCAGATCGGCCAGCCTTTTCCGCCAGACGAACCTTTGCAGCACTGTGTCATGCCGTCAGGAAACCTCACATGTTGAAGTATGTTGCACGCCCCATGTCCTTCGAGATGTGACTCAACAGCTCGGCACACAGCTTTCCTATTGCAACAGAGAGGCCACACGCCCGCGAGAAGTGCCAAGCAGCACACAGCCAGCCCATGCATTGCGGCCTCACAGAGTCTGATAAGTCTGCTCAAGACGAGAAAACATCATGAAAACGCGCATCACCGCAATCGGACCGCAAGTCGGGCCCAGCCCAGCCTTTGCACCAGGCATCGGCAGTCAAAGTCACTGCCTAAATGGAGAAGTCCAAATCGAAGAGTTAAACGTCGTAGACATGACATGACACCAACATCTATTGCCCGCACACCCAGCGAGAAGAGTTCGAGGGTCCTTCTCAACACGTGCATGAGGCTGTCCGCTGGCTGCATCGGCACCTACGCGAAGCTCCTCAGGCAGCGAGAGGCACTGCACATGCTGTCCACGGCAGCAAACAATGACTCTATATCCAAAACGGTTTGGTGCACGGAGTGGTGCGAGAGCTGCAGGCGACTGGCTACCGCAGCTGCTCCATTTGTTGCGTCCCCACACTTTGCGAAACCAGGACAGCCTGGACCCTGCACCCTGCGGACATGCCTGCAGAAGCTTAGGTGTGGTTACCCTCTGATGGCTGGTCCTCCAACCAGGAATCCGAGACGTCTGCGTGGTAGCTACCTCTTTTGTTGCGGCTTGCTCAGCTAAACCAACTTGACAAGAAATCCCACCTGGTAGCTCCTCGCTGCCGAGTCGGCAAGAACTGATGCGCTTTCCGTGGCCATGTAGGACCTGAGAGAGTGGACATCGAGCTGAGCGAGGCTTGGGCTAAGGCTGCTCAGGAGTCGCGCGATCACCGTAGTCCCTTCCCAGCTTTTAAAAGAGATCACAGAACAATAATTTCGTGTGGTTGGCGAACTCGCGGCTGCTTGCTTTGACAGCACTGCGCACTGTACATTGTAACAGGCCCGCGTACAAACAGCAGCAGTTAGTGCATGAGATCAGGTGTGATCATTACCGACAAGCTTGGTGCTGAAGCATGTGCGCAGTCTGCCTTCGTCATGACATGCCTGTCTGAAGCTGTTTTGGCCCATGGATCGAGCAACGTAGACGTTCGCAGTGCTTACCATCACACAGTATGTTCATTAACGAATTCCGAAAGATGCCTCTTCTTGATCGCGTGAGATCGCACATCCCCACGCTTGACTGCAATTTCTAGTATAAAGGGACGTGAACTGCATGAGCTCGCGGTATCGGAAGGCACTGTCGCGGAGGTTGATTGTCCAACCGGAGTTGACGTGATGATGCCAGACTCGGAGCGAGGCGCCGATTTCGTGTTCCCGGGACACAAGACCATAATTCCGGCCGGGATCACGAGATCTGTACCTGCGATGAACGAAAACTCCACGTGGCCCCACGCCAAACTTCGCTATCGACCGAGCGCCACCATTTCGAGACTCAGCCCTTCGATGACATGGCCACTTTAGCACGGATGTCAGGCGAGGCGAACCCTTAAGGCGGTTTCGAGGAGGCTTCGAGGAGGCTTCGAGGAGGCCTTGAGGCTTAGAGGAGGCTCGGAAATGGCAAGCCCTCCTCTGGATGGGCTCTGCGAGGTACCGAGACGGCGCTGTAGGACGACCAGAAGAAACGGATGACAAGAGGTGAATACCCTGCTACACTTGTCCCTATATAGGGTTGACGGGTCTCGATGGGCTCGCCCCTCACATTGTGATTCTCAACTCACACAGGCTGCTTCGTCTTAAGCCCTGACGGAAAATGTTGCAGAGGTACGTAGAGGTACTCCTGTGGGCAGCACAAACGGGCTGTTCCTGAGGGCTTCGCCAAAGCTTCGCACCGTCCTCCAGCACAGTCTACTGCGGCATCGATGAGTCCTGACCACATTGTCTGAGCTAGTAACTCATTACATATTGGCATGCAGCGTGACAAGCTCGTCCTTCACCGAGCACCGGTGGGCAAGGAGCCTTGGGCAGGACATTCATCCACAACAGAACCGAGGTAGAACACGAAGATATGAAGGATAGAACAGGCAAAATCTGCGAGCAGATCATCCACAAAGAGATACAGAGAGCACAAGGACAGCGGCCCACAATGACGCCGAGAACATTGGAATCCTACAAGCATGGCATGTGATTCTAGCCCAAGCATGCAGAGCCACCTCATCAAAGATCGCCGACACCGGCACCTGAGTCGAACTATTCTGCTCCACGGCCGCGCTGAACAACACCAGGCCATCCTCAAATCAGGGTCGTGTCAGATTGGGAAACGCGCGCCACCGCTGGCTGAATAAAAACTTCTGGCTGCAGCCAGTGGTGCTGAGACCACCAAGCGCTGGCCCGCTGCATCACAGGCCAGGCCCTGAGGCCTTGAGTGCTCTTCACATGTTCTCTGCTACCACATGCTCCTATGCTGCTGCCACATGCACTTTCACACGCTACTGGTGATCACGGCGTCACAAGGCTCGCACACGAGAGTATATGAGCAAGCAAAGAGCATCTCGGTTTGCTCCGATTGCTTCTGGTGACACCGGGTTCGCGGCAGGACGTTTTCATAGGGCCACGAAACAGTCAGGATGTCCTTGCTCAGGTGCTCCTCTCCTGAACCCAAAGTAGCGACTGAGGGGTACTTGTAGAACAGCGTAGAACCCTTCTGCTTCGGTGCTTTCTAACTGAAGTGTACTTGAGACATTGTACTTGGAATCTGAAAGCCGATCTGAAGCCCCGGATAACTTCTCCAGCCAGCATTGCCAGGCAGCTCTGCTCAAGTGCACTAAGAGACTCACAAGAATCCCATGTATGCAAGCATGTTTCTGACAGAAGACAAAGCTGAAAAGGCACAACATATTGGACTAAAAGCCGGCAAGCCAAAAGCCAGGATGCCAGGACTACTCTCGAAGAAGGAGGTCGTCCACGGAGGCATGAAAGCCGAGCCTGGCAGCCGCCATGTCTTCGCGCACACATATGCTGAGTATTTTGATTCCAGCATCTATATTGTGTGTGTGCCTGTGTCTTCATTCGACGCGTTGGAGGGTCGAGCAACTCTAGAGAACTGCGGTGCGAGCTGTCTGTGCCGCGAACATGCATTTGCTGTGCACCTTGCAGTCAAGGGTCGCTGCAGAAGCGAAGTAGCATTCTCACTTTGGGAATACGTCGCGGAAGTTCTCGTCAGAATCTCACAGAAGCAAGTGGATCATTCGGACAAGGGGACAACCTACGACAACATTGGCTTGCACAGCTAAAGCGCTCATAGCAAATCGAAATTCTGCCAGGTCGCATGTGCCGCATCCAGTGCGTAGTAAAAAGCAGCCGATAACCACAGGAAGCAAAGCCTGAAGCATGCCCACTTCCGGCGAGGGAGTCGACAAAAGCTCATGAAGGGACTATGACAGAGCGAGTGAAGTCATCCGCTCCCGCGCTTCGACCCGGCAGATCACGAGCAGCATTTTGGTGGCAGCTTCTCCTCATGAAGCCAGCTTGCTCCGAAAAAATGTCTCGGATTGTCAGTCCAAGCGGGCCGGCATCATGAGCAAACTTGCGTGGCTGCTGTTCATCTCGCCCGTGTCGTGACGCGCGCAGCTTCCACGTCCAAGTGGGTCAGAAAACTATTCGCCTACTGGCGATTGATTCGCGCACCACGCATTGGCAAACTTGGCCGCAGATTCGCGCACCAGCAGCTTCGTGCACTGGATGGCGGATTCGTACCCAGGAGATTCGCACACTAGAGCGGCTGATTCGCGCAATGGAGCGGCGGATTCGCACACTGGAAGATCAACGCACTGGCGCGGCAGATTCGTACTGAAGCGGCGGCGGCGGACAGGCAGATTCGCGGGGGACTCGCACATTTGCGTCATGTGAGTGGCGAATTCGCGCACCGGTAGCTTCTCGCACAATGACAGGCAAAATCCTAAGGAAGGTGTGTGGAAATAATCTTGGAAAGAAATTGCGAAGCCCAAGCCCGAAAATGAGGTGACAAGCCCGCACCCCTAAGAGGAGATGGTGCTACGGTGGAAACCTGATCGATACCCTAGATGATCTTCTTTCGCAGGCGGATTGGCCCAGGCCAGAATTAAGGGCACTCCCCCGCACCTTTCTTGTGCTTTCAGCAACCGAAAGTTCCTCTTTCTTGCAGGGTGAGCCGTGAGCTTCCGTATATCAGCGCGGAACTAAGCCGAGGCACATATTCATAGCAAAAGAAAACGTCTGCTGCGGTAGCACGATTGGTGCCTCCCGTTCACCTCGGAACACAAAAGCGGCCCATGAAGCGTTACTCAAAAATGTTTGCTCTCTCATTGAACTTGGCTTCATAGACCCAAACTTTCCGTTCGCAGAACCCTCACGGTATCTTTGCTGCACAGCATGACACCTTCATCAGTTCCCTTGGAGGGCAGGCAAGCGTAAAGTAGGTTCTTAGGGAATCCGAGCTCAAGATAAATCAACTCAAACTGCCACCGCGTCTTTTGCAGGCACACATTTGTCACCGAGCCGCAGCCTGTGACTACTCCCGAGTCTTCCGGGAGGTTGCTGGTGGTGCTCAGCCAGCTGCGAGCGCTGTAGAACTCAGAATAGTCTCCGTCGACCTTAACCGCTTCGCATCACTTCTGCGAAGAGCGAAGTGAAACGATGCTCTCCGGGCGCTCCAGCGTGTCATTCTGCAGCCAAGACACCAAATCCTGGAAGGCCTGCGCATGGGGTGCTCCCGCTGTGCTGGAGTAGTCTGTTGGTGCAGACATCTCCTTCCGAGGCTTTCCATTTCCAAGTCAATGGACAAACTAGACTTGCGAAGAACCCGATACCACTCATGACGCCACGGAGCCTTTCGACCCCGCTTTCAAGCTACAGGGCTGAAAGTAGCAGTGCCACATCATTTTCTCATTGGAGCAGGCGCAGCGCAGGGTGCAGAGGACGACTGCTTTCAGCTACCTGCTAGGACACCTCGAACGTGTTCACTTACCTTGAACTTCAAATCAACCGTGGTTTTCCATCCCATCCTAGCTCAATTGCCTAAAACTGTGCCAGCTACATCTACAGCATTCTACGAGGATCTCTTCCACCTGGCGGGCTTCCTTACAAAGAATTCCCCTCGTCTTATCTACAGCATTCTTTCGCAGTATTCGAATGCCATTGCGACGTGCTCGCAGTGGCACTTGCAAGCAAGTTGTTGCACAAGTTGAATAGTCCAATAGTTCTAATAACTCCTGGAGCTGCAGGCTAAGTACCCCTGACCCTGAAAACCCTTGAACTGCCGGGAGGACGGGGTGAGCGTAACTCGAGAGGAGGCTCCAAACTGTGATTTGCTTCGTCAGGCAATTGCAAATGCAAATTCATGGTCCTCGCCCCTTCAGGCCTCTGGGCTTCGCGGGCTTGAAGTTTGAAGTTGGCTGAAGCTGATGAACTTGAATGTCTCTCTAGATTCTAGATAGATTCGCAGTTTCCCCGTTTCCTCAGAACAGTGATGAGAGACGATGCTGGACATGGATTCCATCGAACTGTCTAGAGATGTTGGACGCCCTGTCCAGAAGGCTGCTGACCTTAGGCTTCTTCCTCAGCCATCCGGAGTCCTCTGGGCGATGGACCTTCGGCTGGCCGGAGTCAGCGTATTCCACCATTCCCTGAGGTCTCATTGCATTTCCATCGGATCGTTTTTTGCATACCAAGCTTAAGCAAAGTTGCTGTAGCTGGCTTAGCTGCTGCTTTGGCCGACGTGAGCGAGATGTTTTCGCTTCCGGCCTGCAGAACGGGCACATGGGAGCGGGCAAGGTGGGACGCACAGTCTTGGATTCAGATTGTGCCTTTTCAGACGCGAGTTCGCCATGCCGTGCCTCGCTGAACGCTGCATGCGAGTCGGAGGCTGCGCTGCTGATCTGGTGCCGATGCGCCTGAGCTTCAGCCGAAGTTGAAGCTGGAAGAACAGCTTGCAAGAGCTCTCCTGCCTGAGCGGCTGAGGACCAGCCGAAAACATCCAGGTACAACACCTGCAACGGGGGGATGGTTGGAGAAACTGTGCAGGAAAACTGCTCAGCAGAAATCCTTGACGCACGAGTGAAGGGAATGCCACACATGCTGTTGGACGGACGAAACGTTTCAAAGCTTGTTTCACGGTTCACTTCTCGACGGTCGCAAGTACAGCGCGCTTGCATCTGCTCAGTATGGTGCTGAAAGCAGCTGATTTCAAACGTCATTCTCTTCACAACTCAGACTCGCATGTGCAAGTACCGCATTCATCTTCGCAACGAAAAACAAAGTTCATCTCTACCACGCTGCGCCAGCTTCTCATGACTTCGTCCTTTCGCTGCTATAGGAGTTCGACCTGTAATAAGCAATAAGCGGTTTTTTGTTTTCATACCTATTGTGGAGGTTGCTTCAAATGGCTTGCTTTGCAGAAGAGTCACTTGATGTTTCATGGATCTTGGTTGGGAACTTTTCCACAAGTTCTATTGTGCAAAACTTTCTCCAGCGGCCTCATCAAAAGAAATTAGGCGCCGAGGGGCAGATCGAAAGGCTACAGGAAGACGCGCGCCATTGTGTTCCATATGCATGCGGCAGAGAGTGTTCATGGTGGTCAAATACCTTGGTGCACACAAATTTTGCAAGATTTCAGGCATTCAGACAGTCACTACATGTCAATACCTCCAACTGCTCAGAGAATGCAGCCAGGACGCAGGGCATGTGCCAGAAAAGCGCATACGACCAGTGCCTCTGACTGCCGGTCGCGGCCATCTTCGACCTCAAAAAACATGCAAGCTCGAAGCATGCTTGCGTTCATGGCGACGGTTTCGTGACTTGCCCTATCAGCAGGCAGGCATCTGCTACAGCACAGACATTGCCCAAATCAGACCAGATGCCCATGCCCATCCGGCAAGCGTCGCAATTGCAGGTCCCAGATACAGGAACAACTGCATGAGCCGAAGCTGCCACCACGTCAAAGACATGTCCAGTCGATTCAGAGTTTCAGCCATGGTCGTCAGCACGACAACACCTGGGCCCAGCATACTCCGGATAGTTGCGGATAGTGGCAAGAATTTGCTGAAGTCCCAACCTTGCTTGCAGCAAGTGACCACATGCAACAAAGGCTCCGTATGTTGCAGAGGATGGAACCTTCACCTCCGACATGTAGTACGCCAGGATGAAGTAGCTTGCCGCATTCAGCAGCTGGTTCACCCCAATGCTCATGCAGATTCGCGCGAATGCGTCATAGCTTTGCCAGAACACCATCGCCTGTCGGGCCAGCTTCACATGGCGAAGCTTCTGCACACCTGCACCGGTATCAAATTGCAAGCTCACAGGTCTTTCTTCACAGTCCCTCAGACAAACATCTCCAACGAATCTTCCGGGCGCTATTGCGCCAGGTGGCTATGGCCCATCTTGCACCCGAGCTCCGGAATGTCGGCACCCGAGCCCTCCAAGCCCTGAGTTTGAGCAAGAGGGGACGCATGTAAAGTACTCCTATTTGCCTGGAGGCCCCAGCAGGTAACGGCAATTCAGAGCATGAACTCCGACAAATCAACCACCATGCCAGAAAGACAGCTGTAGCATAGGTCTGGGTTGTTTTCATTGCTTTCCCAATTGGACATAAGCACCTCTTGCTAGAAGCATTTCGAGTTGTAAAATCCGACCAAAGGCAGATAAGCCGGAGAAATGCCAGTAACTTGGGCACGGTCCGTGAAGGACAATTTGTTTTAAAAATCAGGGTGATGCGATTTCCGACCTGGCCCAATGGTGATTCATGGGCCTTCTAAGTCACGTTGCAAACGCCTGGAAATTGGTTCTTACAGAAAGCAATGTACATGTGCTACAAAAGATGTAGCGGCCGCTTCAGTACATTGGAGGTGGGATGAGCAGCGCAGCACAAGTTGCATGACTCCCGCTTTGCTCAGACCGCTTGTGATTCCCAAGCGGCCCAAGGATCCACGTGGCGATTCGCCTCTCCAGGCCTGACAGCATCGAATCCCAACGCCATGGACTGATTAAAAACATTGCTTCGGATCAACCCTGGCTCCACCTTATGCTAGAGACCGGGGAGGCATCTGCCGCAGCAGGGGCGGCCTCCTCCGAACATGTTTCTGAGCAGTGTGCATAATAAACGACGACCATGCGCATGGCAAACACTTCTCAATTCTTGCTGTTCGTGCCCCAAGTCCTGCTCGGCCTCTTCATCTTCTTCGGCGAGGCTTTCTTGGGGGCCCATAGCAAAAGGCACTCCTGAGTCGCTTGGCAAGGCGCAGCAAAAAATTGCGACAACAACCTGCAGCCTCACAAACCACATTTACCTCGTTCTTTGTCATGGCTGTGACTGTGTTCTGTTCCTCCCTGAAGCCACACATACATAAGCGTACATAAGCGTCGTCCAAAATTGTCACAAATTTGGAAAAGGAGCGAAACATCTGTTTTGCCTCCATTCGCTCGAACTCAGAGGCGTAGGTTCGGCATGCCTCGATTTCCTGTTCAGGGTTGAGATGGGATGAGCAGGATTGTTGCAGGATTGTTGCAGGATTGTTGCAGGATTGTTGCAGGATTGTTGGAGATCAACACGAAGATACCCAGCCTGCCATGTGGGAATCGGCAGCCGAACCATCTGTGTGAGCAGTCGCGTCTCGAAGCTCTGCGCTGAGACTGCTGCATGCCTTAGCTGGGGCTCATCTCCCGTGACAGGATGTAGAAGGATGCGAAAGGACTCAGCGTCCGTGAAAGTCTTTCTTTGCTGCCTTCTCCGCTTGCAATCGCGGCGGTGTCCAAGAACCGCAGTCGTAAAAGGGGCGAGTGATGAAACCGAAGCGTGCAGCCGAGCTTCATGGCCATCCAGATGGAGAGCAAGATGAAGGAAAACGACCCAGCCATTGCCAGCGCGCTTCCTGTCATCAGCCAGACCTGAACAAAGCAGAAGGCGCTTCCAGGTTGTTAGGGGAAGGGCCCTTGGCAAGGTATCCTTTGGAATAAAGCTGACCAGATGGGAACGTGCAAGGTGGTAAAACGTAAGGCACAAAACCCAAGGTCCCTTATTGCAACTTCCATTCTGAGGCGCGGGAGTTGTGTGCGGCAGCTTGCCCTGGCACCAGAGAGCCACGGTAATCCCGAGTAGCAAGACATTGACCAGCAAGTAGACGTGCATCTTGTATTCCTCATGTGCTAAGACGCGTGGAGACATGAGGATAAAGAGTCGTTAAACGTTAACATGCAGGCTCAGGACAAGCCCAGCGTGTTGCGGTCACAATGCCTCCGAGAATTCAGACAAGCGACCGTCAATGAAATCAGGTCTCGGACATCTTTACGCCACAGCTCGGCTTGGTCGACGCGGAAATTTTGTATCTTCAGGGATTTAACAGGCATTTCAATTCCAACGCCATTTCCTAAGTCGACGATCTGCCCGGCATCGACTAGGTCTTCGCCTGAAACTCCTTCCGTCGTCGCAAGGCGCGGTCATACAGGAAGTTCTCGCGATTGTACTGGAAGGCCTCCTGAGCAGCTGTACTCGTAGCCGTGTAGGTGATAACACGCTTTTGAGAACCACTTCTATCTGTAGCAAAAAAGATATGGCACAGGTACAATCCGCCGAGGCCTCGGGCCGGAGGTGTATAGGTTGTCAGAACAGGCACCCCCCTCCAAATCCTCCCCCCACACCCAAAGCCCTTTTTCGGACCCCTTTTTTTGGCCTCAAATGGGTACCCCCCCCCTGGGAAACCGGGTCCGCAAGCGGACGGTTCGCCAGGACCAGAGGCAGTTGAAGCCCCTCCCAGCAGGGCCCCGCCGTTGTTCACCAACCCCCCACCCCCCCCCCCACCCCCCCCCACCCCGTAGCACAGTGGTACCGTCGTAGTACAAGTGCAGTCGTACAGTAGTAGTACAATTGTACAGTCGTAGTACAGTTGTAGTAGCACAGTCGTACAGTACTGCAGTAGTACAGAAGTACAGCCGTACAGCAGTGCAGTAGTACAGTAGGACAATAGCACAGTACTGCAGTGGCCCCCCCCCCCCCCCCACCCCCCCCACCCCCCCCCCCCCACCCCCCCCACCCCCCCCCCCCCCCCCCCCACCCCCCCACCCCCCCCCACCCCCCACCCCCCCCCCCCACCCCCCCCCCACCCCCCCCCCCCCCCCCCCACCCCCCCCCCACCCCCCCCCCACCCCCCCCCCCCCCCAACCCCCCCCCTACCCCCCCTAACCCCCCCCCCTACCTTGGCATCCTTTGACCTCACGAACGCGTTTAAAACCTTTCAACTATGCTCCAGCGGGGGCGGCGGCTTGAGCCGACCCTCCCCCCCCCCCCCCCCCCCCCACCCCACCTCCCCCCTCCCCCCCACCCTGCCAAAAAAGTCGCCTTAAACCTTAAGGGGCCTGGCACCTTGAGCCCTAAAACTAACCCTCAACCCCAAACCCCAAACCATAAACCATAAACCCGGAACCCTCAACCCTCAACCCTCAACCCAACCCTTATTGCTTGGGGTCCAGCGACTTTTTCGCTGCGGAATCACCATGCTCACGCGGATGCGCTGGGCCGGGCCGAGGCGGGTCGCGTAGCGTTAAAATTAGGACCATGTGGGTACATGTTGGAAGACGTCCCTTCTGGCATCACGGCTCCCGCTACCCAGCCTTGGCTGCGAACCCGCCTCCTGCAGCGAGGCCTGCGCGAATGCAAAGGCCAGTGTGACCATTACAGTCATTACAGTGTCCACAATGATCCACAATGTGCATACAATGCACACAGTGCGCACACATGCAAACAATGTCCTGCGAAGCACTCTGCCATGACCGCGGTGGTTTCGGCCAGGGAACACTAAGTTGCCTTGGGAAAACACGGGCGAAACCTGCTCGACATATCGCCGACAATACTTGTGTCACAATGCCTTGCCACAACAAACCAAGTGGTCTCTCAAATCGGCGAAAAGCGGACGGCAACTGAAACAAAGCAAACATCTACACGTTCATGTCGATCATGGTTCGACTGTAGCTCTGTTTCCACTGTAGCTCTGTGTCCCGCAGGAAATGCCAATGCCTCACAGAAGCTGCGTTAGTAGAGGATGGTGTCGTGCCCGCAGTTCTCTCAACGTACGGACAGGGCGGGTCACTATCGGACTACTTCATCGAGAGGTATTGACCGGCTTCCGACCGCGAGGTCGTTCGGCCTTGAGCCAATCTGGCTGCATCGGGACTTCCATCCGAACAGGCTAAGAAGCACACTGTCCTTGAGTGGCATATGATGTTACATGGCATTCTCAAGGGCAATTCGCAAACCTCTGTGCGGACACATTGACCTGCATTCCCGATTCCCTTCTTGTCTCGGCCTGGAAGCAGCGCTTGATTGCGGCGTCGGAGAAAGGGTGAGTCAACCACCAGCGGAATCCTGCATGACAACTTGCAATCTGAGTGTGATGTACTGATGTACAGAAAAGTTCTTGTAAAGCCGAGCACGATACGCGTCTTCGAACATGGACCACCTACTTCCAAACCAAGAGGCTTTGCTCGCTCCAGCTCGGCGTGAATCTTGTCAGCCTGGCGGCAAAAAAAACCGAGCCTATGAAGTAATGCCATGATCACCACCCGGTTGTCCCGCAGTTTCTCCGGCATTCTCCAACACATCACTGACGTTTCTGCGCCTTGCGACCCAGCTTGGCCGGCAGGTCGGAGAGGCTCTCGAAGCGCTGCCCTAACCACAAGGCCTTCCTCAGAGTACCACAAAAAAGTTTTGAATTGGTGACTTCGAATGTGTTCCGACCCCAAAAAGAAACAACATGAGGTCTGCGAAGGCGCGCTATTAAAGCTCTCCATTTCTGAAATCTCGCTTCTCTCCCTTGAAGGCAAGAGGCGCTCGCAGAGCAGATCGAAGCACCTAAACTCCCCCAACATGTCCCAAGCTCACAGCAACAGAGGCAACGAATACGTGCAAGAGCTCGATTATCGAAAGCGGCGGCATTATGAATGACTTGCTGCTACTGCTTCCGCTACTGCGACTGCGACTGCTACTGCGACTCGACGACTACTACTACTTCGATTACTTCTACTACTCCTACTGCGCCTCCAAAGTCTTGGGCGTGAGTTTGGCTTGTGGCAGATGGTCAGCCCGCAGCAGCCTCACCTGCGAGGCACTGCCATGGCGCTCATCACAACTCACTACCGCGCACTCCTCAGCTTGCGTTAACCATGCTAGCCGCCACACCTCGGGTGATGCTGCAGTCACCGTGAGGGGTTCCGGCTGCTGCAGGGTAACGGATGTCCTTGGGTTAGCCACTTTTGACGGAGTTGTTGCGAGGCTGCTGCAGCGGCCCTGACTGAGGCGCCAACAGTCCCACGACCTGGCCTGCTTCCAGCAACCCTAGCTCCACGGTTGAACTGAAAAACCTGGGCGAGAAAACGATACCGCAGCTGCAAAAACTAATCCTCAGCTATCTCAATCTACTCAATGTAACGGATCTCAAATGCTGCGTGCCAATCACTAGAAGAAGGGAACCATCTCGCACGGTTGTTTGTACCCTTTGAGCTTTACCCGGCCTCCTGTTTGTCGGTGCGCGGGCCTGTCATCAGCCAAAGCGAGCATCATCGCCGATCGAGCATACTCGAGCGTCTGCTAAACAACTTCCGAAAGGAGCCAAGTTGGACAGTCACAAAGCCGAGTTGCCTGCTTGCCCCTGCTACCCTCCCTTGTTGACGGCCGGTCCTGCAGGCCAGTCTGGACATGAGGTGCCGCCACTGTACCCGGTGTCCGATCCCGATCTGATCCCTATGCTCCCCTCTGATCGCCTTTGATCCCCTCCGGCCTCCTGCGCTGGCTTTGGGGCCGCTGCCGCCTGGGAGCACCGGCCACCAGCAATGAGCCACAGGGAGGAGCTCAGCTGCCCAGCCTCAACTGACCCAGGGGCTCCCAGTTTTCTCAGCTCTCAAAGCCCCAGGCCTTCACCAGGACTGAGCCCTTGTGTCTCGTCTCCTCACCAGAGGTGTTGTAGTACAATGTAACACAAGTGATGCCCAAGTTCACAGAGAGGTGCTCTAGGCGTGTCGAGCACGTGGGGGCCTCCTTGAAGAGCGGCAACAGCTTCTCCACTGTCTCGTCATCGATGCCGAAGCAGTCGCGAAGAAGCTGGCCTTTGCACTTGGGCTCACTACTTCTGCCTACAGTGCCTTCTGCTTTGACTGTTCCTACTGCAGAGCAACATTCTGTCCCCAAATATTTGGTCCGCCCGTGAGCTTCTCTCATCTGAGATGTGCCTCGAGCAGCACGGCGTGCCGCTTCGCACCGCCTGAGGGCATCCTCCCAGTCTGCCTTCGGAAGCTGCCAAGGTCGAAAGCGTTGCGAATGCCATAGTGGAATGTGGCCGGTCTCGGGTCTTGCATGGTGCATCGCGACTCATGAGGAAACATGCTCCATATCCACAGCCTGTCAAGATTTTCCATGAGCGCACCTCTGAGATGCTGAGAAGGACCACGTCCTGTCACAGAAGAGCCGGACGGTATGGGCTGCGCAAACACAGGCATTGCAAGTCTTGAGCCCTGGACACTCACGTTGCTCTCCTTGTGTGCTTGATACAGTGACGGCTCGATGCTTGAGATCCAACCACCAAAAAAGTCACCCTCGCAGAACTCCGCCAAGGCTTCGTCAATGTCTACCTGCTTTGCAGAGTCTGCTCTCCCGCTTCGCATGTTTCAGCCATCTTCGGCCGTCAATCCCTTCACCTTGGCAATGTGGCCATCTAAAGACAAACCATCTGAACCCTCTTACCGAACACCTCATACGAACACGGATTGGAGGGCGAGCTGCAGCGATCTCGCTGGTGACGCTAGCAGCATCCGCGTCGCCTACAGGCGTTGTCTTTAGAATACAGCCTCCACACACACTGCATGCGAGTACAAACACACACACACACACACACACACAGACAGACAGAGACACACATGCACCGACCAAAGTCGCTAGCCCGGAGTGCCTGGATTCACCGTCGTGAGGAACACGCCAGAGTGGCGAAACGCAGAACGCGCGGCCTCCAGCCATGTTGCATCATGAGGTAACATCGTAGCTAAGTAGCAGATCTGACCCTGCAGGAGCGCGCTTTTGGTGTTGAACGGTGTTAAGCTGCCTTGTTTACCTGCTCAGGCGGTGCTGGCAAGCCTGCAGCTCTTGAGCAATGAAGGACTCGCTAGTGGAGTGGCCTCCAGCATAGAACTGGCAAAGCAGACAAAGCGGACAGACAATAGCGACTTTCCCGCAGACCACCGTGACAGCGCTGAGTCAAGAACTTTGCTGCTGTTGTTGCTGCTGCTGCTGTTGTTGCTGCTGTTGTTGCTGCTGCTGCTGCTGTTGCGGCTGCTGCTGCGGTGGTTGGTCCACTGGTTCTGCGGGCTCTGCGACCGGCTCGTCCTGAAACTCAGCACGCTCAGCAGAGTCCATGCGCAGGGTCAGGATGGGAAACCCAAACGCACCACAGGGGCATCCTCGAGGATGAGCTCTGCCCTGAGTTGGTCCACTTGGATCTTCAGCGAGTGGAAGCGAAGGCGTTCCTGACATCTTATACCGTCGCAGACACGAAGATGCCTCGGGCATCGCACTGCTACAAGGACGAGAGATGCGAACGGAGACAACGATTCGAACAAGATACCGAGAAGCTCCCACAAACCCAGCCCTCGGCAGTTGCGCATTTTTGCGCACGAAACCTGAAGACCCACAGACCTCGAGTGCCCTCGAATTGTCGCTGTTGACCGCAGGGGTTCGCTTCACCAAGCGACCCACAATTCCCACAACCCATGATCCGTCGCCTGCAAGCTCACATCCAATGGCCGGAGGCGAATCCTGTGCCGAGTCTGCAACTTCATGCCACTGAGACTTGAGAATGCTTGAGACTGAGCTGTTGGAGAGGTGCATGGACACACCCGACAGTCGATGTCTGCGAGAGCCGCAAGGGTTTGGGCATCCGCCATCCGCCTCTCTTGAAGGCCAGCGAGCTCAGCGCCACCCTCCTCCAGCCGTCGCCTTCGACGCCTCCGCTCCTTGAGCTGCCAAAAGAAGGAACACACATACACACACTTTCAGCCGCTTTCACACGGAGTGCATTCCTCTTCAAGGGGTCGCGACGCAGATCTGGAACAGCAAACTCCCTGGTCCTCCTCCGCAAGGAGCTTTTCCTCCAGTCCCGACGGCTCTTCCTGCGATAGCTCCTGCACCGTAGCAGTAGCTCTCCCCTACTTTATTTTCGCAGTTCTCCGGCCAGCCTTACATGATTCCCAAGTCGTTAGGTACAGCGAAGCAGGGCGCATGATTCGATACATGTGGAGACCAAAGTTTCCCCAACTTCTGCAAGATCTAAGCAAGAAGTCTCAGCTGCTTACCCAACCCTTGCCGACCAAAGGCCAATAGCAGAGCAAAATACTTCAAGATCTGATCAGTCTTTTCGAAACGTAGAAAGCTCGTTGAAAGGCGGCAGCTTATCTGATGGTGGGATCTTCAGGTGTATGTGTGTGTGTGTGTGCGTCTGTGTCTGTGTCTGTGTCTGTGTCTGCGTCTGCGTCTGTGTCTGTGTCTGTGTCTGTGTCTGTGTCTGTGTCTATGTCTGTGTGTCTGTGCGTCCGTGTGTTTGATGCGAGAGACCAGCGAAAGGCTTGCATGGGCGCATTTTTCGGCAGCCTTTCCTCCGCCCCGCCTCCCGGCCCCACTGATTACAAAGGGGCACCACTTATGGTTTACAGCTCTGCGAAAACGAATGAAATCTGAAAGACTAGCTGTAAGTCACCACAAGCATCACCTACTTGAAGGGCCAAGCGCTTGTTCCTCTGCTACTGAAGTCCTCTGCAGGGGGCGGAAGTGAAGCTGTAACTTCTGCTTCGTATCTGCCAACCACACCCTGCATCGACAATCCGACAAACACCAGCAGCAATGTCCAAACACTGTCTGTATGGCCGCCTTGCCTTGAGCACAACGAAGAATGGAGTAGAGTCCTCAGCTTTTGCACCACAACTGTGGCATTGGGGAGCAGCTTTTGCTTAGGGCCCAACACGGAAAGAGGCTTGGGTTAAACGCAGCTTCTTCGTCAGTTCTTCGTTGTTCTTTCCAAGACGATTGGGCAGGTGCCACGTTCACAGGAGGACGGAACCAAGACACAAGTCACGTGCGAGGTCCAACGGAATCGAGGTTGCTGCAAACCTGCGAAAATATCTTTAGATTCACGTCGAAGAACGAACCTAAACTTCTCCATATAGACGGAATGAAGTCGAGTGGCTTTGTGAAGGCTCGGTTCCCCAGCTTTCGAATTCAGGCCCCTGAGGTCTCGAACTGTTGCAAAGAGCACAGAGTCGAGACAGCAGGATCAGCAATCTCTCACGAGCAACCAAGAGGTAAAGCGACATCAGAAGGCGACGAGTGGGCAGGAGCCGCAAGAGAGACCGAAATAAGAACAGCAAGAGAACCGATCAGGCCAAGGCAGCAGAGAGGACCAAAGGTGACCAAAGCCGAACGAGAAATGCGTGTAACACGGACAGCACCAAGAAAGGCACATGTAGCTCAAACAGCGTCGAATGAATCAACAGCAGCAATCCCAGACAATCACTGCAAGCCAAGAAATAAACGCAACCCTGAATGCATGCATAGTATGTAGTATCGCCCACATAAAGCACACAGATGAACATCTCTCCGACCCACAAGACCTCTGCGAGCCAGGTACACCTTTTGGCCATTCAATTGCTCCTGTCAATGTATCAGGAGCAGAGATCATGTCTTCGACTTTGCTTTTCGCTTGCCGGCGCTCGCAATCCACATGCAGGCGGCCGTCCTCCTTTACAGACATGATGCACTGCCACCTCTGGTGCGAGTACCAGAAGAATAACACACAAGGATACTGGCACGACGCAAAGCCGAGGCTATCAGCAGCGCCTTCTTAGCCACCTCCATCCGCTCGTCGTGTTCCAACTCCAGAAGCATGGGTATCTGCGACAGAAAAACAGGACAGTGCAGTTGCCATTCCATTGTAACACCAAAGAGCAGCTCCATGCTCGAGAGCCTTCATGACCGAAAGCAGAAATTCCAAGTCCTGTTGGACACACTCGTGGCTCGCGCAGTTGTCACGAGAACGCGTTCGATGCATGTTTTCAGATAGAATCGATGGAAAGCTCATTTGATGCGTAAGGCACTTCTTGCCGATATAGACTAAAAGCACTCTCTGACTCGGAACAGATGTTGGTCCTGGCTGTTCAGATTGCTTGGCCTCACGCTTCAAGCTCGACATCTTCAGTCAGTGACTGCACTGTGATACAGAGAGTGAGGGAGGCAATCGACAAGTGGCATGATACTGTCACATGGCCACCGCATCAGGACAAGGGATGAGCAGGACGCCCGGGCAAGCTCGACAAAAGCCCCGGGACACCCACAGACCAAGACGAAGTGCGACGAAGGACGGAAGCCTTTCTTTGCATTCGAAAAAAGTTCGAAGAAGGCCAAAAAGGGGTTCGATGAAGGCCGAGGGTTCGGCGAAAGCCAAGTTCGACGGCCTTTGCCGGAGTCTGTGTGCCATCCCGACTATACGCTATCCTGACCGGTTTAGCCCTGATACGCATTTAAAAAATCATGGCAGAGAAGTTGAGAAGGACTGACCATGTTTTCTGTGTCTGCTGTGTTCTACAATACGCCTTGTAGACTCGTAGATTGTTCCACGCAGCCAATCTGAGATTCGCACCTGTCGGATACCGCCTGCAGAGGAGTGCTGACACCGACCAAGGTTCTCGCATACGGCGAGACATACGTGCACAACATCCTGTGTGGTCGTCTTTTCATCTGAAGCACACCGCGCGCACATCTCCGCGGTAGCCATCTAAGCTGTCTCTCCCAGCTACTTCAGTGCCTTAGGCTGCCAAGCCAAATGACATCGCAAGGCAAGGAGGCTTGCCCACTAGCAACATTCCTTAACTTCTGGACTTTGCAGTCCTGGTCTTTTTCAAAAGATATGATCCTCGTTCGCGGTTCGCCCCCCAGCCCCTCAAACCCCCCACCCCCCGTCGAGCCCTAATAGCGCCCTTTTGCATAACAGTACGACCGTATGCGGGCTCTCCCGACTCCATTTGGCTGCTTGAGGAGGTTTGCGCTCTGCAAGTCGACGCCCCGATTGGGATCTTGAATGGCCCTGCTCTGTGGCTGAAGTCGTTCCACTTCGCACATTTCAGTGAGATACTCGACCCAACCCCATTCTGCCGAAGCCGCTGTTATTGCTTCATTCACCTCGCCCACATGCGCCAAATGCTTACGGCGTGACCTCTCTTTTGGCATGGCTTCGATGATGCTTTGATGGGTGTCGGCTTGATGCCAGCCTTTCCATCTGTGGAGAGCTTCACACATTGGGACGCAACTGGACGCATTCAAAAGCACACTCAAGCATCTCAGAGGCATGGGAGTTCGCTCCATGCGGGGTCCGAACGCGGGCCACAGCTGATGGGCTTAAGGCACTTTCGGGATACCCCCGAGCATTCCCACAGCCATGTCAGGGCAAGTGAAAGATGTGTAAGGCACATCCATCAGGTGAAGACAAACCAATGTTTTCACACTGCTTCCAATACTACTGTAGCTGCGGCAGAGGTTGCTGGCTTCGCATTGCGTTCGAGATCTGCCAGGACCTGCTGTCTCAAAGCTTGAGATCTAGGAGCACACTGGCACAGCTGAAGAACCTTACGCCTTATGCTCACGGTTCCACCTCGGCAGTCTGAATGCTGTGATGCGCAGACATCCAAACAACGAGAAGACGACGGGGAATGCAGCACGACCTCGGAGCAAGGGCGCACAACTGCAAGCCATGTCTGGACCTGATGATACTTCACAGGTGTTCACGATGCATGCCACGCACGATGGGTACGTTCGATCTTCAGCTCAGACACACCACCGTGCCAATCACTGCGGCTAAGAGGGTATGGTAGACAGTCCTGGTCGGCAAAGCTGCAAGCACATGGAAACAAGCTGTGCTCGCCCGTTCTACAAGAACTTTTGGATAAACCAAGTGCAGCTTAGATGCGACATGTCCGTGATTAAGCTCTCGCAGATTAAGATGTCGGCCTGAGCTGGAGACCAGCATACAGTAGGAGCGAACTTGCGATTATCACCGAGAGATCGTAGCATCTGCCGACAGGCCTGGCTGCAAGATGCCGCCGGGGACAGCACATCTCCCACCACCTTGACAACTGTCCAATCTGTTGTAGCATACCGTATGTGCCATAGATTCCACAGCTTTCCCTTGCGTACCACTAGACTCACTAGACTCCCTAGACAACCCCACAACCTTTCCATACCTTTCCACATGCCGAAACACAAAGGAACTCAGGTTCTGCATGCTCGCTGTGCACGAGGCATCCTGGGACGACTCCAAGATGACTTTGGAGGGGGGCTACCCGTGCACCCGTGCATCGGTCCTCTGATAGAAGTGGCGCTCCGGCACAGCCGTTCGCCACGCCTCTTGAAACCGACACTGGAGTTGCCAGGAATAGCCCACAAGAGCACTTGCGTCGAGGCATGACCGCACATGACCGCACCTACTTGGGCGAGGCTCACGGTACCCATGATCAATGTCATAAACACCAATGCCAAAGAGACCTGATGAAGCGATGCGGGTATGTGGGGAAAAACGTTTCGCAAGAATTGGCCCATAGCGGAAGTAAGTTCAGGACAGCATCCTGGAGAAGCACTAAGGAGAAGAAGCCTGAAAGTGGCGCACCAGGCATGCCACTACTGAATCCTCAAACTGCGAACCGGCCTGTGTAGTGGAACAGATGTCCCACACAGTTCCTGGCACCCCATGACATAGGATGTGCAGCTTTCGTCTCTGTCATGGCCGAAGAATTGCAGACAGAAGACACACAGTTCCAGCAGCAGCCTTTCCTCTCTGCCGGGTCCTAAGATTCTTCACATAGGCAAGCGGATATGAAAGCTACAAGTAAGTTCGGGTTGGACGAAGGGATGTAGGGCAAAAAATGTTTCTTAAATGCTGTATCCTCCAGGTGAGCCAAGTCCAAGTAGCAGTTTCAAATGCCCGTGCAATGCCATCATTCTCATATACGTACCTGTCATACCAAACACGATGATCTTCGCAAGACGTGCTTGTGACTGTGTTTAGCTATCCATAACAGCCCTGCCAGGTGCGACCACGAAGTCGGCAATAGAGCAAGTTACGTAGTAAGTTCATAAACTGTATGCAGGCCGGATGCTCTAGATAGCACGCGTAGCTCAAGGCCACTGTTGCCATAGCAACTGCCTCAGTATTCAGCACCATCTGGTCAATCTGGTGGCTTGAAATGACGAGCAGAAACTTGCTGACAAGCAGCCACAGCCACCAGAACCATAGCTGTCCATCGATAGAAATCCGCGATATCTTTCACCTGCAAGGAGCGAATTCTCTGCTGATAAAACCAATATTTGCGCCGAAGCAGCACAATCCCTTGAAACCATCCATCTTAACCCCACACACACACACCAAACCAAACCAGCGCTTCCCTTGTGAAAGGACCAATCTTGCCTTCCCACCTTTGGATACAGTCGATAGCTCACATTTTTGTGAAAGCAAGACTCAACTCGGACCAGATAGGGCAACAGAAGATGCCCGTCGTGGCTGACACATCACGAGTCGTGCAACCATAAAAGCCTTTCTAGTCGTAGTCTTGAGTTTACGTTCTGCTTCTGCTGTTGCGGAGGTGCTCCAGTCCGGGACAAGAACGGGAGAACATTGCGACAACATGCGACACGGCATGAGACAGCATGCGACAGCGTGGGACGGCATGGGACAGCATGGGACAGCACATCAGGTTGTCGAGGCGTGAGGCTCTGGCCGTCACTGACGGCGCTTCTTTGCGCTTCGTAGCCAAGTCACAGCCCGCTCGGTGAGAATGGCCACGGTGAGCGCATAGCTCTCCAAGGAGTCAAGATCTTCCTTGACCAAGTTTAAGCGGCAGAGTACACCCAAAAAGATTAAGCTTGCAGCTAAGTGGCCTGCATTCGTCTGGATGTCATCCGCAGTAGGACTAACACCTCTGTAAGTCCCGACGACAACAGGTAAGGACACATTTTGATGCTGATTCTTTTGCCTCGTCCAACATTTCCGAAGACTTTGTTTGCACCGAACTGGTCAAGTTCAATGTCACCTCGCAAGAGCCATGCCGTCAACCAATGCCGCGTGCTGTTCGCGTCTTTGCCAAGCCCCACTGATTTTCGCACCCAGCCTCTTGGACATGCGTGGCTTTCTGAATTATTGCCTGAGCTCTGGACTAAAGTCACGGTGAAGCAGCATATGCAGGCATGCACGGACAGTAGTGCACACACACTATTACACAGTACGGACGTGGATGTGACATGCATTTGATGTTGCTACTTGAGCCCAGAGGGGGCGGACGAAAGCAATGCCCCGAAAGGGACCGCAAGTAAGCGAACGGTGCTTCGATGGTTCAAGGGAGGCGAGGCCATTTCAGGGCTCCAAAACGGTAGCTCGTGCGCAAAAACCGTCACCAAAGGTCTCGTTCTCTGGAATATGCAGACCCAAAGCCGACTATGGGCCCGAACGCCCCAAGACTCCCCCCCTCTGGGACCACAAGGACCCGCGCATCAGGAGCATCAGCAGACCTTCGTTTGTGCCAGAATTGGCTGCCGGCCGTCAGCGAACAATGCTCAAAAAATGGCTCCAGCAGGCACTCGAAATCCAAGTTTGCCATCCAAATTGGGGTTCCCCCAACCCCCTATACAGATCAGCATACGCTGGGTGTTAAACTGTTAAACGAAACCTCCCCTCAAGTTTGAGGGGGGGGTTAGCAAGAACGGATTCTTGTACAGTGACCTGACAAACATGACTTTGCAAACCGGTAAGACTGCAGACTTTTTGTGGTTGATACGAGTCCCGTTCGCCTTTGGCAGGTACCAAGAGCAAAAGCGAGTCTATTGACTGTCATGTATGTGTGAACTGTGATAAGCAATCAGACAAAAAACCGGACATTTATTCATATTATTCATTGTCCGAATTCTTACTCTTCTTCTGAGCGGACGTGCGGATCAGGAGGGCGAACCCAAATCACCCCAAACTCCGCCAGACTCCGAGCATGTCTCGGCAGGCTGTGACGAAAGCAATGCATCGGAGGGGCCTCTTCGTAGGCCTGGCCCAGATGGTCAAAGCTTCGGACCAGATCCTAAATGCCCAGTGGGCCGGCACAAAGAAGCAATATCTGACAGCCAACAGCTCACAAAAGTAGGCACACCAGGTGGACTACGAGCTGCTATACCTGCACAAGGTGAACGCCTACCCAGTCGCGGCACTTCGTCTGCCAAGTCTCCATCTTAAGAAGCTTCTTCATGTACTCCTGAGTACAATGTATTGTCTGCTTGCAACAGCATGAAGCGCGCACGAAGAGATGCGAAGAGACTGAATTGGACTGACACTTGTGCAAATCATGCGGCAGAGTCTTCGAATGCAGTGATGTTGGTCATGTTGCCGATGGTGTTGCTCAGATTTCCCAGCGATCTAGAGACCTCGTATGACAGCGTTCAGAACAGGTTGGTCCGGAAGGTACACGGGACGGGCACTTTCAAGCCCAGGTGCTGAGCTCTCATAGTTCGGAGCCATGCACAAGGTTTCCTGAGTTGCAAGCCACGAAGGCTGTACAAGCTCTTCAGGGCAATATGGGCAATGCTGAGCAGAAGCCAAGAAGCCACTCCATGGACAGCTAAAGTGAAGTCGCGGCATTGCTCCCCCAGCTCGTCCACCGCATAGTCCAAAGATGCCAGCATACCTTGGGTCAGCAGCAGCAGCAGAGGGCCTGTCACGGCCCTTCAGATCTCCAAAGTGTTGTGGCGAGCAGCTCTACATAATGCTTCTGCAGTTAAGCCACTGCTCATCTTGGCAAACTCAGCCTGGATGTCAGTAATCTTCTCGGCGCTGCTCTTGACGCTGAGATATGCGACCTGCAGGCAATAGACTTACCCTCTGCAAGGCCTTGATGGCACAATAAAACTGCCGCGCTGCACGGCTAGTGGCAGCTAGCGTGCTGTGGAGCCTGGTGGCCAGGAAGCAAATCTGTGAGGGGGAACACCACAGACCTTTGCATCCAAAGTTCCAGCAGAAAGCTTTAGCAGTGCAACATCGCGGGCGTTCATGGCAGAGCCTAGACGAATCTACATGGCATACCACATTATATCACATTATCATACCTTGTCCAACAAGCATCAGGCCAAGCAACAGCATGCTTGCCAGCGACTCCAAGAAGTTTCTGCCTTCTTCTGGATATGCCACCAACTTCAGTCCTGGAACTCTGCTTGACTCTGCTTCTGCTCATCCCGTGCAGTGCCTGCTGAGACTCTGCCACACCCCCAAGTCCTTTTCGCATCACATCTATGCGCTTCTCCTCACTCAGTTGCAAGGGCACATGCGCGAGCAAAGCAGGCAGGCAACTTCAAGTCATGCGCACGCGCAGAGCCAGCCTGCGCAAACAGCAGATACAGTGCATGCTCGTAGTCGCTGACAACACCACCTTCGCGCTTAGATGGCCAAGTGTGCTCTCCTCTTCACTGGCAAGTAGTTTCGGGCCTTACGACTCCTCAGAGAAGAACCAAACATTGCCAAGCAAAAGCAGGAGATTAAAACAGGGTAACCGGGTCAGAAGCCCCAACGGGTTTTCCTTTTAAGGGTTTGAAGGCAGGTCCCTCCATTGCTATTCAGTAAGTCCTTGAAAACCTCTGTTGTCCCACCCCGACAGGACAAAGCTCCCCAACAGCAACCTGGTCAAGCCCACGATTTGTTGAACCTGTGGCCAGTATCGCCTGACTCCCGCTCGCTTGTCTCCTGCTCAGCTCATCTTTTTACTCACCTAATCTCGCCGACCTTGACCTGGTGACCTTGCCCAGACAGCCTGACAGCCTGATAGCCCGTCTGACCTCCCGTAGTACTTGCTGGCGAGCCCGACCGCAACATGCCGCATGGATATAGACTGTACACGATCGCTTGAGGTCACCATTCAAGACCCGGAGTGCTGCTCCGGAAAGGTAGCAATGAGGCTAGCCCTTTGTCGCTAGGCTTGAGCTCCTCCCAAAGTGTCACGTCCGTTGCTGGGTGCCGTGCTCCGAGCATCGGTGGTCGTCTTGTTGAGCGGCTGATGAAGCTTTTCCAGCGCATGTTGAAGTCGCAAAGACTCCTGGAAGCTTAGGGTGGTGGAGTCTCTCTGCCTTGCAGAACACATCAAGAGGAGTCTTGGACGCAATCGTGACCCTCTGCTCACACTGCTCCGCCTAACGTCAAATACCATCAAGGCCCTGTTGGAAGTTGCTGTTAGGGCAACCGTAGCAGCGCCTGCAGGAGTAGAGGCGCTACCCAGTGTTAACAGTTGCTGCTGCTAGGCAGGTTCTAGGCATCATTGCAGGGTTAGGATCCGGGGTTAGGTTGGGTTTGGGTTTTTCGCAAGGGTGTCCAGAGGCCTCAGACATCCGCCGAGGCCTCGGGCCGTCTGTAACGGAAGCACCTTTAATCCATTTTCCTGGCATTTTTTGCAACGCCTCCCCTGACCGACATCCGGGAGCTCACGGCGCGTCGGGACCAGAGAGGGGGACGGACACTAAATTCTGTATGTGAGGCAAGCCTGCCTATGGCCTTCCCCCCGTTTCCCCCACCCTCTCCTTGCCCCCCCCCACCAAGACCCCAGTCCACCAGCCCCGCCCCCACCTCTTCCGATCCCTCCTTCCGCCCTCCCCGCCCTCCTTCGGCCCGCCCTCCAACGAGCTAGCTTTCCTGGATCCTTGCCACCGCCGCGGCCATGGGCCCCGGCCGAGGCGGGGCAGGGTTAAAGCTCGGAGTTTCAGGATGCCCTGCACGCGCGGCGGGCCCTCCCTGGAATCGAACCATAACGAAAGCGCATGGTCCAGGGAGGATTTCGCAAATGTCTGGACGCAACTGGCACCTTTGAACAAGGCGCGGGCGGACAACGGCAACTGCGGGCTGCCGAATGCTCGCGTACTCTAACAGATTGAGAACATGTGAAGCCACATGAAGCCACATGAAGCCACATGAAGCCACATGAAGCCACGATCCTCGTTCGCTCGGGCCACCTCCTGCCGCAGCAAAGTCAGCCCTCAGTCGAATGTTGAGAGACAGGCAAAGCTGCAAAGGCTGGGCTCTAAAGTACCAATGTAATCTCTGTAAGTGGACCATATGACACCATGCGATGCTTAAGTAAATGCCACGAATCCTCGCACCATTGCCCGATCTCCCTGCGCTGCACCAGGGAGCACTGCAAGATTGATGCAACGCACATCAATTGCCAGGTGCAAGAATGAGTCGGAGATATGTGAGATAAGGACAGACGGAACTGCTCCGGACTCACGCTGCACTGTCACAAACATGTTGACACTCTCTCAATGGGTTCATACAGGTTCGCACAAGTTCACAACTCACACAGACCTGGAAGGCCTCGTAAACTGTACGATTGATCTCAGCACTGACCATTCCAGTTGCTTTGCCAGTCAGATTCATGACATTTCCAGACCTGCATGCACATGCACTCTCATATATATATATATACATATATTATTTATATATTTTTTTATCACAAATTCAACCTCTGCATCTTCTCTGGAATCTACAATGCCTCTGCTTGCTGTGTTTTGGCCCTTGCCACCTCTCTGCCAGCACGTCCAGTTGAGATGCAACATCCCAGCAGCCATACCTGCGATTCGTATGACACAACCCAGCAGAAGACCGGCAGACCCCGACAACCGGCAACATTCCATCAAGAAAAGAACACTGCAAGGAAGACAACTCAAACTGCCTGTGGGACTTGAGTCAGAATGCTGGCAAGGAGCAGGGCGACTGCATAAGCACTTAAGATGACGGCAAACAGGCCAAACATCTGCCACGGAAATTCCTTGGTTGAGCCAGGCTCTGCCAGGTTCTCTTCTTTGGGAGTGAGACCGCAGAAACGTGGTGCTCGAGAGCCAAAAACTCTCGCGCTGTTGTCTTGCAGCATTCTGGCGGCATTGTTGTGGCTCTGGTGGGTTTTGGATGGTTTGGGTGGTTTTGGATGCTGAACTGGAACGCCATGATATGCCACGATGCATCCTTGTCGCCGGCAGCTTCACGACGCCGCCGCCTCAGCTCCGCACCTGTGAAGGTTCCGTACCTTGAGGTGCCATGGTGGGTACGTGCTGGGGTCGAGGTTCAGTCGAGGATGGAGTCAGGGGAAAGGATTCGGAGCTTCGGGATTTTGGGGCTTCGGGCATGTTCTGCAGCCGTCTTGATAAGGATTCATGCACGAGACAGTCATCTAGGCGTCTTGAGTTGCACCTGCGCTGGTATGCCACGTGAGGTAGAGCACGACACGCAAAGTAGCTCACAGCTGTTCGGGCAAAGCTGCATATGGAAGACCTGAAGTCGCCTCGGTTGACCATGCTTGAGGCAAAACAAGGATGATGTTTGTGGATACGGCTCAGCAGGACTCAAGTGCACGTAAACAATGTAGACGCGCAGTGAATAGGTCACTCGGCGTTTCGCGGTCTGCCTGTGAAACTACCTCTTGTCGTCGCAGTTCTTTCGTTCCCCCAACTTTGTATGTGAGTATGGGGTCCGCCGTTGAAATTTGTGGGCCGGGAAATTACAACTCGGCAACACACGTCATAAATCGTCACAAGCAAGCGGCCGAAAATTGGCGAAGGAACTAGTAGACCGTGTAACTTCGAGCCGAAAAGTCGCAGGCAGATCCTGGTCATCTCCCTGTGCCTTTTGAAGGCGGTCGCATGTCTCACTCTCACAAGATTTTCCAGCACCGCGAAGGGGAGCCGTAACAGAGCGGATGCAGGCCAGGAGCCTCTAGTCTCGGCTAGCCTAGGAGCCTAGGACACAGACATGAGGGGACCAGTTGCGGAATCCCCTGCAGCCGGGTAGTGTGCCTCCATCGCTCGACGCCGAGCCGCGGTCTCGCCGGAAAGGTCCATGCACACCTGGAGCTTGAGCATGTAAATGCATGCACACGCATCACGAGCACATGGACTCAAGAGGTACGCATAACCTCACTTTACAAAGTTTAGATGTGTCAGGGGATTGGCATGCAGCCCAAGGACCAAGCAGTGCATGTGGGCAACAAGTAGTGAAGCCCGTGACAGCTGAAGCAGAGCGGCCTCCTTGAATGTCGAGGCCTCCAGCCAAGCGAGTTTTACGTCGCTTTTGGCACGAAGGCTCAATGGCCAGTGCTCCTGCACGATTGGAAGCTGACAGTGACAAACACAAACCTGCACGAGGCACTCAGCATCAGCCCTCATCTCCTGCAAGCCAAGCAGCACATCTTCTCCAATCGCACTGCCCTGACAGCCGCAGGCAAATAGAGATCCACTGATGAGGTTAAACTTGAACATGCATCGGGACACACCATCACATAACCAGGCATCTGAGGATACTTGCAGATCCTGCCTCTTTGGTAGCATCTAGGAAGGCACGGGGTCTCCCTGCTTCTGACACCCTTCACACAACGTGGTTGCCTCTGGCATCAGCAGCTGCTTGCCGCTCGACAGCATGGCAACCACGGTACCTGCATCCAGACGAGCAGCTGCTCTGGCTCGGTTGCACAGTCGCAGAAGTGTTTGGGAAGCAAAACCAGGATGCAGCGCTGACTTTCTGAGTTGTTCAGATTTCTCACGGTACTTGCCACCGATGGTGCGGTTGGAAACTCTTTCAGAATCGGTTACTGCAGCACCGCTGCACCTGCGAGGATCTGGATGAAGGCGAAGGCCTCCTGGCCAGCTCGGCCTCAGAGTCCCCAAAGCATCTTTGGCTAAAGTCTGATGTTGCTTTACACAAGAGTGAAACACAAACAGCTAGTTTGTGTCCAGAGACCTCCCCTTCAAAATGCGTTGCCAGTATTGCAAGCCTGAGAATCTTTGGCCCATTCTGGCCCTGAGGTGCGAACAAATGTACTCCCCTTGGTCAATGGACACCAGCTGCGTGGACCGGCAGATATCCTGAGCAGCTCATACGAGGTAAGGAGGGAAGAACAAAAATCCCTGCAACTTGTGCTGCCGCTTGCTGAAGCTCAACTCTGCAGCTTCAAGCGTTGAGGGCGAGCGTCCC